TACTAAGACAATGACTTATAGTTTTTTTAACTTGTACACCATCATATGTACTCACGAAATTATCTTACACATCTAACTATTTGTGAGTGTTGGCTAGAGAAAGAGGCAGATCTATGATCAAAAGAAAGAAAAAGGATTCATATACTTTTCACTACTTTTAGTGGAGAGTGTTGGGGATTCGTCCTATCGACAACCTGTCAATGAATCATCACGCAGCGTGCCCTTCGGATCTTATGTCAAAAGAAGACAAGAAGAAATCACAGCAAATAAAAAAACTTTACAAAGGAAAAAAATAGAAGAGAGAACATAAAAATTTTAACAAGGTTCGGCAACTTGCCTACGTCCTCGGGAGCCACACAAAAAATTTCATTTGAATATTAAAGAAGATTACAAAGCTTGCAAGAGATGATCTCAAACTCCTTGAGATCACTCAAAAAAAGAACTCTCTTTTTATTTCTCAAGGCGCGACATTTTTCTCTGAATAAACGCCACTCAAGGCGTTGCAAAAATCACCACCAAAATCGCTATAGGAATCATTCTGGAAAACTCACGTTTAAGTGGCGACTAAGGTTCCCTATTTATAGGAAAACCCTAGGTCAAAACAGATTAGGAATCTGTTTTCTACGAGTTCGCCTGACAATGAAGCTCGCCTGTATGACTTATGTTCGTCTAAACATAGTCAAGCTCGCCTGAACTGTTTCTCTTGTACTTGGAGCTCGCATGCAGATGGAGTTCGCCTGAACCTCCAAAGCTCGCCTGGTATTCCAAGTTCGCCTGAACTTCCAAAGCTCACCTGAACTGCAGGTTTGCCTGAACTCAGCTTCGAGCTTCGCCTGGACTTCCAAGTTCGTATGAACTATCAAGTTCACTTGATTCCTTAACTTTGAGAAATCTTTGCTTTGCATGCTTGTTCTAAGGTTTGGGTCTACACCCGAAACTAACAATCTCCCACTTAGATATCAAACCTCCGTCAACAAGCTCTCTTCAACTTAGCAAGCACCTTCTCCTACTTGGAGAATCGCTTTCTTTAATTTAATATCTTTCTTATAGTGTGGCTTCGCCCTCATCTCCTACGCATAAAGGCCAACTGAACTTGCACACAACTCTAGTTTCTGAATGGTCACTACTTTTCTTAACATATCTGTGGGATTTTGGCTCCTCAAAATCTTCTCTAAAAGTAACTACATATCCTCTATCAGCGAGCGTATGAAGTGGTAATGCACGACGATGTGCTTCATTCTGGCATGAAATATTGGGTAATTGGCAAGGTGTATAGCACTCTGGCTATCACAATAAAGAACTCTATTCCCCCGCTTCAGACCCAACTCTTCCAGACACCCGGTTAACTAAATCATCTCCTTGCTGGTTTCAGTCACTGCGACATACTCTGCCTTAGTCGTGGACAAAGTTACTATCTTCTGCAAATGTGAGACCCAGCTCACTGCTATCGGTACTAAGGTATAAACATATCCCGTGATGTTTCGCCTCGTATCATGATCATCGGCAAAATTGGCATCCACGTATCCATACAGTACCAATTCTTTTCTTCCAAAACATAGTGGCATATCCGTAATCCCTCTTAAGTAGCGCAATATCCACTTCACGACCTCCCAATGCTACTTTCCTGGGTTGCTTGCAAACCTGCTCACAACTCCCACTGGTTGATATCCGGTCTCGTGCAAACTATTGCATACATAAGTCTACTATTGTACCACTATCTTGGAGCATGTTTCAAACCGTGCAAGCTCTTCTTGAGCCTACACATTATCTCTTCCTTTCCTTACTCAATAAAGCGAACGAGTTGCTTCATGTAGATTTCTTCATCCAAGTCACCATGAAGAAATGCAGTCTTTACATCCAACTACTCAAGGTAAAGATTTTCAGCTGCCACTAAGCTCAACACCACCCTGATGGTTGTAAGCTTCACTACGGGGAAAATATCTTTGTATAATCTACTCATTCTCTCTGTTGGAATCCTTTCACAACTAATCTGACCTTGTATCCCTTGCTTCCATCACTCTTCTGCTTGACCCGGTAAACCCACTTGTTATGTAAGGCTTTCTTTTGTGCAGGTAGCTGGGCTAACTCCCATGTCTCGTTCGAGTGGAGAGAATACATCTCTTTTTGCATCGCATACTCTCACTACTAAGATTCACTAACTTGCATGGCCTCCTCATAGCATTCGGTTCTCCGCTATCTATTAAAAGTAAGTAATCAAGTGATGAAAGATATTTGAGATTCGGTTTGGCTACCTTGGATGACCTCCTAAGCTCCTCACCCTGGATAGTCGTCTCTGCACCTGGAGTCTCCTCCATTCTTCGGTCAGAACTGATATTGTCTCCCCCATCTGGAAGCTCCTCTAAATCCATATACTTGGATGCACCTGCATCCTTAGTACTGCTCCCACTTCTTTGGTTATTCTTTGCATTGTTCATGTCCTTGTACATTACCTCTTCATTGAATATGACGTCTCGGCTCCTGATAAATTTCTTATTCTTCTCATCCCAAAGACGATATCTGAACTGATCAATATTGTATCTAATGAATGTACATTTCTGTGACTTAGCTTCTAGCTTGTCTCTGACATGATCACTGATATGAACATATACCATGTAACCAACGACTCTCAAGTGTGAGAGATTAACCTTTTTACCACTCCAAACCTCCTCTGGAATCCTAAAGTCTAATGAAACTAATGTCCCATGATTAATTAAGTAAGTTTTTGTATGCATCATGTCCGTCCAAAATATTTTTGGCAGAATTAAGTAAGTTATTGTATGCACCACGTCCACCCAAAATATTTTTGGTAGATCTGCATGTAGACGCATGCTCCTCGCACGCTCTATCAATGTTTTGTTCATTCCCTCTGTAACGCTATTCTATTACGGTGTTCTTAGAATAGTCCTCTCTAAATGAATCCTATTCAGAGCATAAAACTTCTTGAACTCCTCCAGCTTGTATTCTCCATCATTGTCTAATCTCAGACACTTTACTTTCAGATCTGTCTCGTTCTCTACCATGACTTTTCACTTCTTGAAGATTCCAAACACCTCTGATTTATGCTTCATGAAGTATACCCACACCTTTCTCGACTAATCATCGATAAAGGTTGTGTAGTACATCGAATCGCCAAGATAAGACACGCTAGCTGGACCCCATACATCTGTATAAACAAGTTCTAGCTTGTGAGCTTTAGGTGGTCTTCCACTCTTCTGAAATCTGACCCTTTTTTGCTTCTCGTAGATACAGTCTTCACAAATACCAACTTCAACTAAATCGATATTGGTTAGCTTTACTTGAGAGTGTAGAATCTTCATACCCTTCTGACCCATGTGTCCCAATCTATTGTTCCAGATCCACACTCTTTTGCCTGCTGTAATTGTGAGGGTGTCACTCGCATGTGAAGTTAGGTAGAGTGTTCCAGTTTTGTTACCACTAGCAACTACCATAGTACCATCGAAGATTTTCCATGAATCCCCGATAAATATCGTAACATAGCCTTTTACTCCAAGCTGGCCAACCGAAACAAGATTTCTCTTCAGTTTTGGTACATATCTGACGTTCTAAAGATTCCACTTAGAGTCATTCATCTGTATCTGCACGTTACCTCTTCCAACAATACTACAGGGCTCGTTGTCCCCCAAGTATATTTTCCCAAAGTCCTCTGCTACATAGTTCTGAAGAAGCTTCATATTAGCAGTGGTGTGGAATGAGGCTCCCGAATCAATAATCCATGAATCGGAATCATTGTCCATAGCAAGGATCAAGGCATCTTGCATGATATGTGCCTCCTGCTTATTCGTATCCTTCTTTGGTGCTTTACAGACTGAAGACATATGTGTTAGGTCTATGTTTATGAGCCTACTATCTAATCTAGTTTTGATGATTAACAAACACTTCCTAATAATATTTGTTGAGTGTTTATATTTATTTGTTAGGTATCCTACACAAAGATCCTTATTGGAGACTAGATGGACTTGCGTCTACACGATCATATCCATTGGAGGATGAAAGGAATATCGGAATGAAGCTTTGTATTTCAAGTCAAGTACAAGTTCAAGCTCCGCAACCAAGACGAGCATATCAAAGATTTCTTAGCTTAGGTATATTGTTTCTAGTTTAGATCTTATATTTTGTGTGTTTATGCTTAAAGCTCAAATATTACACATATATACGTTTTTGTTTTATCACTTCCAAGTTAAATCAAATAAATATGAAACAAATAGTTACATTTACAAACATACATGCTAGTTTTATATTTATCATCTTTATTTGAAAAATAATGTGTTTATGGATTAAATATTTGTATACACTACTTTATATCTTTTCTCAAGTTTATTAATCTATTAAAAAGTGTTTCAAAACTTGTTTGTATTGATTTAATCAAAATCAAGTTTTTACGATTTCGTATTGTTTAACAGTTTGCAAAATAAATGAGTTTTTATAAATGGGAAATGAAAATTGAGAAATTCTTTTTCTAACATGTTTTATTACATGTTTATAAATATTTCCAAAAATTTTATTATTTTTGGAGTTGATTTTTTTACTATGTTAAATTGATTTTACAAACTCAAGTGTTTCAGCAGTTTTTAGAATCTAGAATATATATTTAAAATAATTATTTCTCACAAATGAGAAGTGATATTTTAGAAATTCTTTCTCCAACATGTTTATCTAAGTGTATAGGAATGTTCCTTAAAATTTCACGATTTTTGAAGTTGATTCGCTATTTTTAACTAATTTTAGAAAGCTAGCTACGCAAAATTCCAGAATCTGCCAACACAGTTCTAACGGCTAGTTTATCAGTCGACTTATCATTTTTATTAGTCGATTGATAGTGTATTTCCAGCCAACGACTAGTTTTTTTGGTTGAGTTTCTGGGGATATATATACCCCTCTTTCCTTAGTTCTTTGGTAGAGTTTTTGAAGGGTTTTTACAAGTAATTTGGGCAGTTTATTTCCAAGTTTAAAAGATCAAAAGTTTGGTTTGTTTATGTGAAGAAGTTTTCACAAAGAGAAGGAAACCAATTTTGGTCTTGGGAATTCATCTTCAAATCTTAAATCCTCTTTGTTTATAGAAAAGTTTTTATAAACTTATCTTCTAGGTTATTCATATTTTGATTCATATATATTTATGCTAGATTGATTCAAGTTTAGTTTTCATTTTACTCATTGATTGCACACACAACATATCGAGTTTTAGTATTTTACATTAAGTATAAGTTGGGTTACGGTGAGTGATTCATTGAGTGTGAGCTTAATTTCATTCTCATTCTTGTTAGAGAACAAACCCTTTTATTTGTGCCTAATTGTTGAGAGATCACATTGTAATACATAATGACACCGAGAGGAGTATGTGGTGAGAGACGGTGTCACGCCCCATTTCCTAAAATACCCGAGAATCGGGACGTGAATAAGCCCACGATGTATTAGATTAAGGAGAATAAATAAAAAATAAATATTTCTCCTCAATCTAATACGCTAAGCGTCTGAAAATAAATACAATGCAAGGCACAGGTCTCCGATCACAGATAGCAAGAATATAGTAGACAAACTCAGAACAAAATATTCATATCATAAGTGAATATCACCCAAGACATAATATTCGGGTCAAACATGCCCTTATACATATCTGAACAAATGAATACTGAAGAAATATAAAATATATTGTTCAACAGAAATAGAAGGGAAAAGACAACAAAAACAACTAGGATCATCAATTAAGACGAGATACTGAACTTCGGCCTATTCTTTAACTCTATCTGCAAAGCACTCCTGCTGAGAATATCCTGGCTCTGGCTCATCTCCAAGTTGGACCTGTTCTTTCTCTAAGTCTGACGTATACCAGAAAAATAGGTGTACGTCAGCGTGCATGGCACACGGCAAGACCCCACAAAAGAAAAAAAATGAACAAAAACTCAATGCAAAAAATGATACAACAACAGAAATGATAAAGAAACGTGCAACTGGAAATACAACAAAATCAACCAACAAGTTGATCATGCAGCAAACGATCAGAATAATCATCCAAGTAACAGGGTCATACAACTATATAGAATTAATACTTAAAAATCTATAACAAGAGACGTAGTACGTCAAGCAAAATAATCCAAACAAAGAAACTCTTATGTATTTATCATATATCTCAAATTATAGATAATTAAATATTAACCCCAATCTATGTATGAAAAAAAATACAAATGGCCTACATCTCACAAGAATCCGTAATCACCTTAAGTAACAAGGTCAGGTAACTAGCCATTCTATAACAGGTCACTGGTCCACATCTCACACAAAGTCAACGCTCATATTACCAGATAACTGATTGTTCACAAATCCTCTATGCGCATCCAACCTCACAAAATAGACGGCTAGAGGACTACACACAATTCGATCTCGGCCTGGTCCGAACTCAGGCAAAGATCAGGTGACGAAACAGGTCACGGATCCAAGTGGCAAAACAGGTCACCTGGTCCAACAAATCAACCTCAGGACGAAACAGTTCTCTGGTGCGGGCCTAGAAGATACATCAACAGTCACATCCAAGCACAAGAACATTAACTTTCTCATCCCAACTCGTTTTTCTAAATCAACAGTCGTATTCCACACTGAAACTCTGGTTCACCACCTAAACTCAGTCAACACACCCACACATGTCACTAGGTCTGTTCATGACGCACGAGACCACTAAGTCATGAACTACTAAGGGTTCTCAAACACAACCAGGAATAATAATAATATGACTACTTCTATGCAAATACATTAAAATAGAACGCAAAACATAAAATACCATCATAAACAGTAAAACATGCATGCATTCTGGTTTCATTAATATCTTGTTATCCGAATCTCAAAACCACTCATAAAAATTATACGCAGCTAAATAATATAGAAAATAACTATGGTTAAAAGAAAACTAAAATCCGTTATCATTTTGCACATGAAATATCACAGTCTACAACTACTGACACAAAATCATAAATTAATCTAAAATCCAAAATAAATAATCCTTTTTGCAAATAAATTCCTTTAAAACATCATAATTATCAAGAATCTAATTCTTTTGCTGAAATAACTTAACAACTCAAAATGATCCTTTTTTGAAAATAAATTAATTTAAATTATCTATTTTAATGATTATTCAAAACCAACCCTTTTTCAAAATTTTCTTTCCTCGTCATAATAATTCTAAAAATAATCTTTAAATATATTTTTTTCCTTTTAAAAACATCTCAAAATAACCACTTTTATACAAAATAAGTATTCCTTTAAATTACTTATCATAACATCATTGTTAAATATTAACCATCAATAAGCCACGCAGATAATAACAATTCACAATCTAATCTATGCAACTAATTAATGACAGATATAAATATGAAATGACGAGTAAGGAGGAGCAGGATCTTGCCTTAAAATCATGTGCAAGCCTCTGAAACAAACAACAAGCAATCCACAAGTGCAAACACCACGTTCTCCCTTACCACACGTCGATGATCTCGCCCTCGGGTCGGTATTATTCTTCACAAAGCTCTCAAAATTCATAAGAAAAAAATCTAGGGTTTTTGAGAGGAGAGGGTGTCTACTAGGGTTTAGAGATATGATAAAAAAAAGGAATTTTCGTAAAAAATATAGGTATTTATAGAGGCAAACCCGAAACAAACATGTTTAACCCGAACCAAGAAACCTAGTCTGACTGGGAAAATCACCTTCGGTATTTTGGATGTAACTTTCTCATCCGACCTCAGAATGAGATTATTTAAGATTTGTTAGAAATCTGTTGAAGAGACCTACAACTTTGGTCTTTGTATTTTTCTAAATTCTAACTGAATCGTTGTGTAAAACATAGAAACTCGTAACTGATTATTTTTTCTAGATTTCTCTTCGTGCATGTTTTGTATATTTGCACTCATATATTCACAAATATACATTGAATTAATCTTAAATCAGTTTTTATCATAATCAAACATCAAAATATATTATTTTTCAGCATAAAACATATTTATCATTATTTATCATGAAAATTTTTAAATTTACAGGGTTTTACAGACGGGGTCGATTCCAAGACGAGTGACATTGGTTGTAAAGCCTAGGGAGAGGTTGTTAATTTGAGCACTTGAGGAAGGCGACACGGGCTAGGCCAACACTTAGAAGGTTTGTTGTGTGATTGTAACTGTGAGAGTTGTAAATGTTTTCGATGAACGTTGTAAACCGGTTGAGATAGTGGATATTCTCCTTAAGAGTGAGGAGAGGAGACATAGGTCGAGGGTAACTAAACTCTGTGATTATATTGTTTGTTTGTGATTGCCTTGGCATATTATTCTTGTGCTCAATGTCTATCATATTTTTATCGTCATTGTCTCATGTTTATATCGCTCATTGTTTAATTATACATATCTTTGCATATAATCTTATTGAATATCATACTTTCTAGGATAATTAGTTAATA